GTAAATGCTTTTTTTTAAGAGGTGAGATCATTAGGTGGTTGTTTATTTTTTGGTACAACCAGAAAATGTGGGATGTTAAAATTGTGGAGGGGCTTTGGATGTCACTGTAACATTCCATGGGGAAAGGGACGGTTTTTATATCCCATAATACATAGTATACTTAATGATAATTTGGAGTCTTAGTCATGCATTTATGACTTGAACATTTTAAATTAAGTCTATTTTCCATATTTTTTAGATACATAAATTAGAATATTGTTTAGTAAAATTTCTTCTTAAACATAACCACTCCCTTTTCATGGCTTTCTCCCTGTCAAAACTATGTGGATTCTGTAACATCTTTGGTCTTAGTAATCCAGTTTTCGTAATAACCTTGTTACGTGCTGTGAACGGTTGAAAATTTGAATGTGTAGTGTGTGTGATAGTAAATTGTGAATTAGTGGGATTTAATGATGTGACAGTTTATCAACAATTGAAGATATTGGTACTTATTTTCTTCTTTATGAAAACTTGCCTCCAAATTGAAAGCTGGAAGGTCACTGGAATTTAGAAAGAATTATAACTACATGGCTTTTTAGATTTTTGGTACATGCATTAAGAATTGCGTACAGGTTGTTCATAATGTCTCTGTACTGGCCCTTAAAACAACCAATAAAATATCAATCATGAAAAAAAAAAGTGGTTACAATTCAAAGATCAATAGTAGTGATTAGATTTCAGTTAAAAATCAAGCATATTACTCCTATTTCTTATGTCATTGTTAGAAAATTTGATAGCAGGGTTAGCCCTGGATTAATGCCTTTAAAAATCAGTTTGTTGAATAGTGTGAAACTTAGTTGAGTAGTGAAATGCAATATTTTTAATTTTTTTCTAGATATTAGGAAAACTGCTTTACTCTTACTTCCTTTTTAGGGCAGAGCCTTTCTCTTTCTTGAACTCTTTGTTGTTTAGTTGAGTACTTCTCATAGCAACCGTATGAACATGAGATATGAACCCCGCCCTTTTCCTGTGCCATCTTTATTATCTCTGACACACTTAAGCCCATAACTGCATCAGTCCATCTGTTTGAGAGTCTTCCTCTCTTTCGCTGACCCTCCTCCACCTTTCTAAGCATGATGTCTCTCTCCAAAGAATATTCTTTCCTAGTAACATGTCTAAAGTATGTGAGACAAAGCTTTGTTATCCAAGCTTCAGAAGAGTACTCTGGCTCCACTTTTCCCAAGACATATTTCCAAGACGGCGGTGGGACTCCCAGGTTAATTGAGGTTTGGAAACAGGAGTGGCATCTACTTCCTAAACCACATACCTCTGGAAACTCGATGAACTTGGAGAAATGACGATAGTTATAGAAAGGCTTCAGGCCTTTTGTCGCTACGAGTTGTGCTTGACTTGACAGCAATTAACAACAACACAATATGAAAGATGGTGGAATTTTTATACCAACTTAAAGCAATTTTAGTCTGGTCTAATTTTAACATCTTACAGTCTACAAGACCAGCAGTGTCTTTTCTTTTTTTTCTTTTCAGTGTAAGGCAGGTTGAGTCGGGAGGACAAATAACGGTTATTTGCATTTTTTTGGGTGTGGGTTCCCCCCCACCCCCATTTACTCTTGTTGCCTCTTCTGTACTGTCAGCTAGCCTGTGAGTGAGGCCACCCAAATCCTGGATCTTGGTCAATTCTGAGCTTCTCATCGCTGGAAACTTGCTTCCAGAAAGCAGCTCTCAGAGGTGGAGGAGTTTGAGTATCATGGCTGTCCAGGTGGTGGGAGGATCATCTGATCCTCCTTGTAGCCAAACAGCCCTTTCCTGAGAAAGGCACACCTAAGGCATATCCTCGGGTCCCCTGTCTGGACAAAGATCTGCTGGAAAAGAGACAGTGGCTTTCCTTTCTTCCTGGCCTCCACAGTCTGAGCGAGTCTCTTGCTGCTCACTCTTTGAGCTCACCCTTTGACTGCAGGGTGAAAGGACGCCATGCACACACAACTCGTTTCCTGGCGTCCCCAATCTTGTGTTGTCCTTCACAGCCTGGGGCTTAGGCAGTAACTAGAGGTACCTGCTAGATGGAGCGTCCCTTTCCATTCACTCTGGGAGGACTATCTTGCCCCTCCCTTCTTAGCATCATTTTAAAATAGATTTTTCCTTCACTGTTTAAGCAACTTTTATTTTAATGTGAGAATTTATAATCCAAATTACATTTCCCTGCTCATTTATATCAATCCTGTTGCCTAAAACAGAACTGATAAGAAAAACAATTTCATAGTAAAGAATTAGAATATTAATGATATTTTCAAGTTTCATGTTGGTTTTTTTCTCAGGGTCTATTAAACATTAATTCCCCACCCCCCCACCCCCACCCCCGTATTTTACTGTTTTGGTTTTGTTTTTAAAAGAATAATCTGGGGGTAGCATTACTTGCTAGACCTGGCATTTTCTCAGTCTGTAAAGTTTCTGTTCCCTTTTTTAAAAAAAAATTTCTATATTTCAATTGTTCCCCTCCCCTTAATATTTATGTTACTCTTTTTCTGTAAAATTGTGTGTGTATATATATGTATATATGTTGTTGTTAAGTGCCGTCGAATCGTAGGCGACTCATAGCGACCCTATGAACAAAAGTTCTCAATGCTTGTGTGACTTTCATCCTTTCTCTAGGTTCATAAGGGTTTCCAGAGGCAAGCTGTTAAGGAAGTGGATGCCACTCCTGCTTCCAAGCTTGTTTTAATCGGGGAGCGCCACCAAACACTGTCTGCCATGGGTAACCATTAAGGCATTTGACACATCAGTGTCATCAGTGTCACATGGTTCAGCTTCACAGTAACCACAAGCTACCTCTGTACGGCAAGTGGACACACTAGGGCTATACGACCTAGAAGAATATAAAGTTCTACAGCTTGCTCAGCTCCACAATCAACACTGGGGACCAGCAGTCAGGCAGGAAATCAAAAGATGAATTGCACTGGGAAAATCTGCTGTCAGGGACCTCTCCAGAATAGTGAGAAGCAATGATGTCAGTCTGGACACTAAGGTGTGCCTGATCCAGGCCATAGTCTTTACAATTACTTGCTATCCATCAGAGAGCTGTACAGTGACTAAGGATGACAAAGATTTGCTGATGCCTTTGAGTTGTGGTGCTGGAGAAGAGTCTTGAACATATGAGTTTGTTTTCATGGTTTCTGACCATTTGAAACAGTTGGAAATAGTGTTCTGTTGATTGCTTTTTGGGCAGCCTCTTTACCTCAGTGGGCTTCTCAAACATATGACGAAGTTGTGAGTTGTGCATGTCTGACACCACACCAGTGGTTTTTACCAGCAGAAGTGTGTGGCTTAAATAAAAGGAAACGGCCATTCACTCCCTGGTATGCTTCCGATGGCTCTCTCCATTATCTGCAATAGGGCAAAAGGATTGAGTTCCTCTTGGTATTGATTGCATTGACTGAAGGTGGAAGTTGCATGTGAGGTGCTCAGGAACTGCCTAGTAAGGGTGAGACTGCCACCTATGACACTGTTGTTGTTGTTGTGTGCCATTGAGCCGGAGCTGACCCATAGCTGGCCTTTCAGCAGGTTTTCAGGGGCAGTGTAATCGCACATGAGGAGAGTGCCCACCTTTCTCCTGTGGAGCAGCTGGTAGATTTGTACTGTGCCTTTGTTAGCAGTGCAGCTCCTTAGCACTAGGCCACTGGAGCTCCCCTTAATGGCACAAGTCACTTGTAGTTGTTAATAAAGAGCAGAGGATTACTGAGCAGATAAAGTAGAGGTTAGAGAAACTGGGGGAATTCCAGGTTCAGCTTCTTAGAACAATTTCTTTTGAAGGTTCCGAGTCTCCCCATCAATCATCTTGTTGGTGCTCCTGCCGGCAAGTCAGTCCTCACTGACACCCTAAGTGCAACCAGACTGGACGATTGTAAGCCATGAGGTTTAAGAGACTGGTTTTCAGAAGGAGATCACTAGTCTTCCAAGTTCTTAGTCTGGAAGCTCCACTGAAAGCTGTTACGTATCATGCACAGACAGACCTCTGACCAATCCTATTTCCTGGCTTTGGGTTGGTATTTTCCAAATGTTTAGGCTGTAGGTCCCCACTCACTACATGCAGGTTGGAGAAGCCCAGAGGCCCAGTGCTGGCGGAGGTGTTGGCCTTCACTGTCCAAGACTTGCTAATTTGTTATTGTTGATGATGATACTGAAGGGAGGTTACCAGTGAACTGTGCTCAGTTCCTTGGACAAGCATGGTCTGGCTAGGTGAGTGCTAGGGTGTGACCTCTTCCCAGCCTGTGTCCCACACCCCTCTTGTGGGCATTACTAGCTCATGTAGTCTTACCTTGTGTATTTTTTTTCTGTCCCTGAGCAGGAAATTAACAATACCACTGGCCGCTTCTTCGTCATCAACAAGGAAAATTACACCGAGTTGAACATCGTGAACCTCCAGATCACAGAAGACCCTGGCGAGTATCAGTGTAATGCCACCAACTCTATCGGCTCTATGTCCGTCATCACCATCCTCAGGGTACGGAGCCACCTGGCCCCTCTCTGGCCTTTCCTGGGAATTCTGGCTGAAATCATCATCCTCGTGGTGATCATTGTGGTGTATGAGAAGAGGAAGAGGCCAGATGAGGTTCCTGACGGTAAGAGCAGCCCTGCAGAACGGCACTAACACTGGGCTTGATGCCTTGGGGGGTTTCCAGGTACCTCGAGAAAACTGTAAGGAGACTGGGATTCAGGCCCAAAAAGAGAGAAGGACTTTCTTAGGCTGGTTCCTCACTTCCGGCCCACAAGATTTTTTGCCTTAGCCACGCAGAACTCCTTGTCTTCATCCATCTATTGGAGTAGTTTCCAAACCTGCCCTTCACACCCCACGTGGGGAGCGGCAGCTGTCACCTTTGTTCAGCTCTGTCTTCCTTCAACACAGATCAGCAGGCAGATAGAGGAGAATCCAAGCCAAGCCTAGAAGCCACCCCAAGGCCGTAGGACACCTGGCCTTTCAGGCAGATTTAAGGTGTATAAGTGGTGGCCATGTGGTCACCTGGTGAAGCCCCTGCGACGAGCTAGCCTGTGATCTCCCCCAACTGGTCTCTTCTTTAGGTCTTCAGGGTTCTTGGCTTTTCACTCTGCCTCTCACAGACAAGGATGGTGGGGTGCAGCTGATCTAGTCAACCGCCCTCTTAGTATAGGATGAGATAGCCAGGCCAGTGGCTCAGGCTGGTGGGGTCTGAGAAGAGAGGGGGTAGGATCATGTGAACCATAGTGAATCTTAAGCTTTGGCAAGACCCAGAACTGAAATCTTTTCACTAGAAGTGTGCAATGATTGGCCACTTCTGCAGTCAGCAAAACTCTGGGAAAATGTGGGTTTTTTAAATTTTTTTAAATTTTTATGTGAGTGTACCGTCAAATCAGATCTGACTGGTACAGGAGGAGATTGTCCCTCCTTTTCCCAGCAGAACATCTGGTGGATTCAAACCGTGTGCCTCTGGGATTGTAGTTACAGCTTCTTGCCACTAGGCCACCAGGGCTCCCCAAAATGTGGGGTTTTTTGGTCAGAGATGTTCTGTTTCTAACGGGGAGACACTGTCCCATCGTATCAGGTCCAGGCAGGCTACCAGCAGCCTGTATCGTAGTCTGTCCCACTCTTAACACCCTCCCCTATTCCAAGGAAAACAAATTCATCAGCCAAAAGTGTGCCCTGAGCTCAGTGGAAGCTGGCTTTGGGTGATATTTGGGTTGTTGGCTGGAGCTTGCCCTGCAGTTTTGTCTGTCAAATGATGGAACACCAAGACCTGGGTACCCCACTGGATGAGGGAGAATCCCGAGTGAGGAGTGGTTCTCGCTCAGAAGTAGTGTGGCCCATAGGCACACCTGTGGGTTTCAAGGCTTTGGAAGGACATGTTTGTGGCCCCCTCCCTTCCCTTTATTCTTAGCTGTGCTCCTAATGGAATGAGTACTTTACCGAGAGGCTGGTGAAGACCTTTTCTGCAGAGAGAACGCAGTGGTGGGGAAATCAGGTGGAGCCCTTCCTAACATGCACGCAACAGTGGACTGGGCTGGTGGGGTGGCCAGTGTGGGAAGCAGATGAGCCTGTTCAGTGAGTGGTCCAGGTTTCTGCAATGTTGAGTGGCCCCAGGATTTCTACTTCACAGGCCATAAAACTGGGGCTCTCTAATGCTTTTTTTTCTCTAGATTTTTCTTTTCTGCTATGTTAAGATTTCGAAGGCACAGTCCTCCTGTATTTTGACAGAGCTGCCCATCTTTCATGTGTTTTCAGCTTTGACTCTGCCACAGTTCTGCTTTGTTCCTGTGAAGGGCCTGTTCATCCTTTAAAACAGCTTACTTTGTTAAATACTACTTTCCACAGTCTGCCCTTTGGAAAGGTCGAGAAGCTAAAAGTCAGGCAGGAGTCTGCAAAGATGAGCTTTAAGACTTGCCTTTGATATTGAGATGTTGCAGAGTGACAGTGGCTTAGGGTGTCCTCGGCTCCAGGCTTCATTATAGGAAGGTGTTTAGCTTACCAGTTTGCTAACTGCTGCTCAGATGGGACAACTGGTTAGTGTTGGCTCCATCTGACAAGTGTCTAGATGTGCCTGTCCAGGGAAGCACATTACCTGCTGGTCAGCTGGCTAGTCAGCTCAGATGTCTGTGACCTGTAGATCTTCTGAACCTCTTCCTGTAGGGAAAAATACTCTTTTAAGTTAAATAAGTATAGGCACTTAACAAAGCCTACGTATAAGAGATGCCTACGGGGTAAGTACAAAAAGAATAAGTCCTTTTATTCTCTTGGGAGAATTCTATAATGCAAACAATTGGAAAAAAAATGTTGGGATAAAAAGTTATGGGATATTGGAATGACTGCAGTGCGGTTCCCTTCCTAAGGGTCCTGTGGTGCAGCCCCCACCTCACTTGGCAATTCCACCCATGGCTCCTCCCTTGTTTCTCCCTTCTCTCCGCTCCCCTGGCTGCTCCTTTAGTCAGTTTCCCCTCAACTCCTTTGCAGTTCACAGCAAGAATATACTTACCCATGGGTCAGACCCATTTTTAGGGTTCCAGAGTCATTCATCTCAGTGGCACCTAACAATAACAATGTGTGTACCTCCCTTTTTAGAATGAGAGGGACATTATATCTGGTACCGATCTGGAGTTTTAGAGAGGATGATTGTCACCTCTCAAGAACTCTTCTGTGTTGACTTATTTATGCTTTTATCACAGTGGGGTGTTTTTTTTTCTCCCCTCTGCAAAATAATAAACCTAGCATGCTTTTTCTCTGCCAGAAAAGTACCTTATTACCAAGATATATCCATAGTTTATTTCAGACCCGCTGAATTTTTTCTTGTATGAACTATGAGTTCAAACATGGGTATTTATATTTGGGGCATTCTGAGTTCTCCATCGCTCAGAGCCTTAATAGGAGAAAACTCTGAAAAATATTAAAGCTTACAAACTTGCATATTTATAGTGTGGTTGCAATGTTATTACTTTCTTAGTGAGGAACTGGGTTTTTAAATCCCACTAGATAAAAATATTCACTTTCTCACCATGAACATGCTTAGGGTTAAGGTTTACCTGCTTCCTGAAAACAAAAGGCCATTTCTTTTTATCCACTGAAATATGGTGAGGTTATCTTAGCTGTGACCCTCATATCTGTGCAGCCCTGGCCTTTGTGTGGGTGACTAGAGGCTGTCTCAAACGCAAGTTATCTCTGCTGCATTTTTACCCTCAGTGTTTTCAAGAGCTGATGAGATGGCTCATGGAGCCAAAAAGGGTTTTTCCCCCACTTATTCACCAGTTTACTGTATTCTCTGAAAATGTTAAATGATAGTATTCAAAAAAAGACCAAGCCAAGCTGTCCCTCTAGCCTTACCTCCATCTGACAGCCACCACGTGCTCTGGCTGCCATCTGTGGTGGTCCCCGCATATGGGCATGATGTAGAGTTGACTGTGCCCAGAGGAGGGCTGGTAGGAGTTTTCTAGTCCCCACTCCCCAGGTCCCTGACAAGGCGAGAGTAAACCTGCATTGCTGTCCTCAGCTCTGCTGGAGATAACCTGGGGCCCTGTCATACTAACATAAAAGAGGAGGGGATCATTTAAGTAAGTGAGCGCTGGTTGGCATCAAGAAGTTTACTGTTTTCACAGTAGGGGGATGATTTTTACTCTTTTTAAGTTACTAGTAGAGAAGACATCTGAAGTTTTATTTAGTCATTTTAAGTGACTTAATATTGGCAGTTGCTCTGTGGGAGAAATATGGGCATTCTTAACTGCCTCTGAAAACCCTCTGGGGGTCAGCTGTTAGTGGGTTCTGACTTGCCGATACACAACAGCAACATGGGCAAATTCTCAGACACTTCAGAGGTAAGAGCTCTTCTAATGTTTCAGACTCTGTTAGTTGGTCAAAGCATGTGTGTGGTAGCAAAGAAAAGCAAAGCAAAGCATGAAGTCTTTACCCCTGGCTCAGAACTGTGGAAAGGAAATGGGACCTTTAAAATGATCTCCATACACACACTCAGTGTCTTTTGACGAGGAGTCAGCTGGTTCAGTACCAAATTGCAGATGGAGAAAATAAACTAGGAACAGGAAAAAAAAATCTTAGAAGATTAGAAACCACAAAGTGCCCCCCTCAGAGAGATGAGGGCAGTGAAAAGGCAGCTTTGACCAGACAAATCTGTTAGCTTTTCAGTTTTCTCTTTTGGAGGTGACACTCCATGAGGCATCCATTCCGGCATCGCAGGCCCTCCTCAGTGTGGAGGCTGCGGGGCCTGTGCTTGGGAACACTCACTGCACAGGCTGGAGAATCCCTCCCCTGCACAAGGTGCATCTCAGGCAGCTTGTTTCTCTCCCTCAGTCCTCTTGAGTCCTCTTCCTCTCGTCCAGCCTGTGGTCCTGAGGTGGAGAGAACTGCCTCCTTAGTTAAGCTGGCTATCTCTGGCCTGCGGGTTTGGGGATATGTTGATATTTGTCGGTTACTATGACTTCTTTTTTTTCCCCTTCAATTGCATCATACCCTTAAAACATGGTGGTAAGTGAGCAATATGCATGCTTTTGGAGTTTGTTTAATCTCCGCTTCAGTCTATACAATGCACAGTTCATAATGTTAACACTTTCTTCAAGTTTACTTCATTCACTTTCACAACTAATTTGGATTTCAGTTTGCTGTTTAATCCTCATTTACTTTGATTTTCTCGTACCTTTTTTTGTTTTCCTTTACTGTTCTCTCCCTCTCCCCTGGTCTTCCCCCTTTGGGGTCGTTTGCTGTCTGAGTTGTCAGGGAGTGTGGGGAGCACAGTGGGCAGTGTAGGGAAATGCTAGGCTCCTTTCTATGTTCTTAGTGAAGTAGGCTTGGGAAGAGAGGCGAAGGGTCTCTCAGATGAGGACACCAGTGTGAACCACACTGCTCCCACCTGTAGGCATGGCAGCTACACTGGCATCACTGCTGTGCAAACACCTCCATGCAGCCTTTTTGCACGTTATCGGCTTGTTGGGCTGGAAAATGATGTTACTAATCAGACACCTGGGAGTACCCTCACTGTCAAAAGAACGTCAAACTTCTGGTGCAGAGTGCTTGGATTGGTGACTATGCTTGAAAAGATCATCCTGGCTCTGGCAACTCCCTCTACCCCTTTGACTGCCCTTGCCTTTTCTGCTAAAAGCTGGGGAGTAGATGGTGAGGTTCTTGACTCTGCTGCCTCGCAGAGCATTACAAGTCCCATTTGCTCTTTTTTCCTTTACACCTGTCCTCTCGTGTGCCCCCCCTTCCCCCCCCCCCACACCCCAGTGCTTAGTTGCTAGTGGGTAGCCGAGCTGACCTGACCAGGATGCTGGCTCCTGGGAGTGGAGAGGGGAGGCCTAGGCGAGGCTTGTACGTTCTAGGACCTGGTGCGTGTCTGTGGACCTCACTGCATACCACCCAGTGTACAGATGTCCTCGAGTCTTAGTGTGTTCTCTGCTCCTGTTCTGATAGTGTACTGTTGTTAGTAACAGACTCCTGTGGACACTGCCGTGTCGCTAGCCTGTTGTTTGGCTGATGAGTCATTGGTTTGTGATTAGTTTTTGGTTTTGTTTTTGTTTTGTATTTTTGTTGTTGTTTTTCTTTTCCTTTTTGCTCCAGTCACTGTGTGTGCTGGCAGTGGCTTTGCCTCTCCGTTGCCTCGAAGAACAGGTGGAGCAATGTCTCCCTGTGACAGACATTCCTCCTGATGTGTGCTCCCGCAGACGCCCACACCGAGACCGGTCTCCATACTGCTTCATGTGCACCTAGCCCCTTGTGGAATCCTGCTGCGAGGTTTTCTGTTCGCCTCCATGAACCCGGGCCACAAGGGCTCGCTTGGTCCCCCCGACTTGTGGAAAAAGACACCAAGAGCACATGCTTGTTCACTCCCTTTTGGGGTCTTCTTTCCACCCTAACATCCTTAACCCTCCCCTGCTTAAAGGGACCCACTTGCCCTTAGCTGAAACAGCAAAGAAAAAAAGTCCTAAATAATTTTCTTTTAAAAAATGTAGTATGTTCTACACCCAGATAATAGATGCTTTTTTATTTAAATTTTTTAAAAAGCTATGCCCTGGCTCACTGGGGTTTGAGTTCTGGTTTTGGCCAGGGCAGAGCGGGCCTGCCTTTATCTGAGGGGTGCCGCCATCCACCTCCAGCTCGGGTGGTTAGCACAGCCTCGGGACAGACACTGGTGCCCTCATGGCCGATCCAGTCTAGGTTCAGCCTTTGGGGCTTTTCCTTCCTCCCTCTCTCTCCCAGCCCTCAAGATTGTGAAACATCACGAAATTGGGGTGCGCTGGGGGGAAGTGAGGGTGTGCAGCTAAGCGTGCTGCATGTGCACACCCGTCCCCAAGTAGGACTGAGGCCTAACTGCACACATTCACCACAAGAAAACAAACAGCAGGATTTTACAACTGAAATGTTGGTTTGTCTTCTCATCTATTTATGAGTGAACCACTGGAACTTGGGGACAAGATGACTATAATGATATTGCACCCTATCTGTCCGCTACAGTTGCAGTTTTTCATGACAAGCATTCCAAGTGTTAACTAAAACCATTGAAACAACATACCTGCCATTAAAAACCTGAATCCAGAAATAACTCCATGAGTGTTTTGCACCTCCCGACGGAATGGCCTTGAATAAATGCTATGACTAGCCATGTTTGCCACTTGCTGTTTGTTCTTCTGTTTACCCTTTATGCACAGTCTAATAATGGTTTTCTCTTTTCTTTTTCTGTCTTCCAATGCATTATTACAATCCAAACATCCACCTAGATGATGAACCAGCTGGGCCAATGTAAGTACTTCACTGGACATTTATCCAGTTTTTGATAGAGTTAGTTTGTATTGCTGTTTAGCAAATGAGGTCTCCCTAAGATTGTGGGGGAAGCTGGTGAACGAGTGAGTGTTGCAGTGCATCCAGAGATGGATGTTGACTTGACTGACGATCCTTTGGTTCCCAGGACAGTGCAGTTTGGTGTTGGTAGCACAACTAAGGAATACCATGGGGGAAAAAGAAATGTCAAAGTTTGTCCATGGTATATGAGTAAATTGACCTGGGAAGGTGGCTGCCATCTGAAGCGTCAGGTTTTATTCAAATTGATTTTAAGCTGTACTACAGCATGGCTCACTGTCTTGCTCCATCAGCAGTTGGTAGTATCCAGAAAGATGGAACTGCACCTGTTGTATAAATCCCCACAATTGGCAGGATCTCCTAGAAGCGGGCTGAAGAATGAATGGGTGGCCAGCTTAGATCAGTACCACAGAGCACACCACTGCCCAGGGATCCCTTTATGAGGTGAAAAGGGACAGTGGAGACAACGTCCACAATGCAGCCTAGGGGATAAAGATGGGCAGTGTGCTCCCATAAAGATTGACAGCTTTGGAAATCACAGAGCAATCACAGATTGATAGCTTTGGAAATCACAGAGGGTCACTGGGAGTTGGAGACCACTCAGTGGTAGTGGGCTTGGAATAATTACCATTGCTGAGACAAAAGGGACATTACCGGTCTGCTGCCTGCCCTGGGAGTCAAAGAGATCTACTAATTGAAGGTTGGTAGGCATTACATACAAATAAAGGATCTTTTAGGCACTAAGAATGTGCAGTAAAATTTTTACTACACCAGGGATGGTAGAAGGTGAAAGACACCCTGTATTTCCATGTGTCATAATTTCAGAAGTTGCTGCTGACTTTGATGTTAACGCTTAACAATGCAATTTTTCCTCCAAAGGAAAACCAACTCCACCAACAATCACAAAGATAAAAACTTGCGCCAGAGAAACACAAATTAAGTACTGCTTCTAATGTAAGTATGGCCTTTTTGAGAAATTTTAGAGATTATATTGAAATGAATGTGCCTATCTTGACTTTGTTACAAGATGTTCAGTAGTCTCTGTGCGGTTCCAAGGTCTTGCAGTTCATTCCAGAGCAACCGATGCTGGTGGGACAGGTCCTGCTGGCCCCATCCAGTGGCTGAAAGGCAGACCTTCCCGCGGTGGGGTTTCACTTGTTTACATAGGTGTCATCTCAGAATACCTATGGTAACAAATTGTCACTTTCTTAGGTGCATTGTTCCCAGAGGTCAGTTAGCCCTGCTTTGCCCTTCAGGGCACACAGTGGTGCCCAGCAGTGGTGGGCCCAGTGCACTCTTTCCAGGCACATGGAGATCAGAACTTCACACTGCATCCCTGAGCATGTTGTTTGAACCAAAGTGCTGTTTTCCATGTCTTCTGATGCAGTCCTGGGTAACAGTTCATATTCTCATTTAATTTTCTTTCTTCTTCTTTTTTTTTTTTTAAAAAAAACCCCCACCCCAAACAGATCTTTAGGTTCCTGAAACTGGTGGCAACATGACCTGCTAAATTTTCTGCTTGGACCTCTTTGGTTCTAGAACTCCATTTTCTCCCCTTTCAAGTGCGCAGCACCACGACTGTCTAAGCATGCCTTATTTAGCCTCTCCACTAAGGATGACTCGCCAGACACATTTTAAACAATGCTTCAGTGTAGAAGGTGTAAACTATTTTGGGCTTGATGTGCTGTGAATGTTGCTTTTTTCCCCTCTTTGTTAAAATACTTAAATAGAAGTGAAAAGGTCCTCTGAGGATCAGATCATGCATGCGCCATTTTTTACTGACTGCAGCTGTTAAATTGGCAAAGCTCTAAAATGCACTGCTGCCATCTAGTGATACATTTTTGTAAAGTACAGCAAAACCTACAGATATATACAGTATATAAATATATATATATATATTTATATTTTTGGGGGTGGGAGAAATCCAAAAATAAAGTAAATGCTTGTTTCATTTTTAAGCTGCTGATATTCACTCCTTTATTGTATGTTGTCAGATGAGGAAATTGTGCAGTTCCAATAAAAATGAGTAATATAAACTGAAATTATAATTTTAAGGGCTTAACCTACGACTTTCTTAAGAAGCTGGTACAGTCCATTGAATGAATATAATGAACTACAGTATATATGTATGATTGCTTTTTAAGTGATTATTTTTTTTCCTGTTAAATCATGTACATTCTAAATCCTTTTGCACTGATGTGTTCAACCTCATTCTTGTATATTCAATTAAGGCAAACTTTTATAATTTACCCTTTGTTTTCAATGACCTTGAAATGTTACAGCATGGTGATATTCTATGCAACTAGTTATACTTTTTTGGTTTGACACTGTATTTTTTTTTCCACATTGATTTGATGGTTGATTGTAGATTTTATAACCTAATAGGGTTCTCAAGAAATATGTAACTTTAGATGCATGTACTTGTGTTTTGTGTAACTGTTGAAGTGCAATGATGTATAAAAAAAGGTGAATTTACCTGTTTTTAAAAATAAAACATTGATAAAAGGTGTTTGGAATAATACTCTTTATTCTGATATCTTTGGTAACTATAGAAAGGCACCTTCCTCAATTAGATATCTTGGGTGAATATTAAGTTCTCAACTCTGTCAGCTTTTTTAGTTCCTTCTCCACTTCTTCCACAAATGCTGGAAAATTCTGATCCATAAGGCATAAGCGGAGAAAGGGCCCGATCTCGCCAGCATCCCATGCAGACTGCTGATAGGCCAGGGCCAGCTCCTCCGATGCCAGGACAGACTGTGGGAATCACAAATGTCACTGTTAGAGTGTGTGGGCGAATGCAAGAGTCTGAACACAGAAAAATTGTTCCTTAAGAAAAGTTTAGAGAAACTGGTCAAAATAACTCTATAGACAGAGTTCCTTTACATAACAAATTTACTGTTACATTTAATCATCTAGATATGTTGAGATCCTTCTTTAATGAAGAACACTGTTCTGGCTTAGGAAGAAACCTGTGGATAAAATACATGAGCACAAGTAACTTGGTCCTGCTCCCCCATCTCCTAGTGTGGGAGCTGTGAACCGTGCCTGTGTGCAAGCTGTGTTCTGAGGTTGCAAACAGACCACTGTGCAGTACCATAATTAGTTCATACATATCATTTTTTGACCCTGTGATGTTTGTTCTCAAAAGTTTAAATTCCATTGTTTTTGGTATATGTTGGTCTGTAAAATTTCACAGACACAGAAGCATCATATTATGAACCCTGCAAAACTTCCTTTATGCCATCTCTTTCCAAATTCTCTCCTTGACATTTTTAATTCCCAGGAACTGCTGAAGAAATGATGCCTTTGAGTTGTGGTGCTGGAGTACTGAACATACCATGGACCACCTAGAGAATGAACAGATCTGTCTTGGAGAGGGTGAAACACAAGTTTCTTCTTGGAGGCTAGGATTTTAAAGCTCCATCTCATACACTTTGGGCACGCAGCCAGGAGGGACCAGACCATGGAGAAGGACATCATGCTTGGATGGGAGGAGAGACAGCATAGGAGAGGAAGACCCCGGATGAGATGAATCGACAGAGTAACTGGGGTAATGGGGCTAAGTGTGTCAGAGTGGACAGGGCAGGGTTCAGAGCTGCTGTACATAGGGTCACTATGGGACATAGGCGACTCGATGGCACACCACAACAACAACTACTGCTGGTCTGTTCTCTATACCTTTGGTTTTGTCTTTTCCAGAATGTCATAAATATGGAATCAAAATAGATAGCCTTTTGAATCTGGCTGCATAGCATAATGCACTGGAGATTAACCCATGTTTCTGCATGTAAGTAATAACCCATTGTCTGGAGGTGTCATGTTATTCTTCACCTAAGTATATGTAGATTGTCCTGCTTTTTTTTGCAATTAATTTGCTATAAACATCCACAGACAAGTTTCTTTGTGAACACAGGCTTTCATTTCAGTTGAGTAAATACATAGAAGTGAACTGCTGGGCTGTTTGAAAGGAGACCATATTTTTTTTAAGTAAATAACTTATCCTGCCAACAGCTTCTTAACCTTAGGAAGTTTTATGGGCTGTTTTAAAGTGTTGCTATGCCAATTTTTAAAAAATATGTCATTGAAAAAATTAATTCATATACCATCTTGTGGTTTTGATTTTCAGTAAGTGATTCAAGTCCTTTTTGCTTTCGGCAGCCTGCATGTTAGTTTTGTTACTGAGTCTTCCTGATGCTGTCACATAGTCCAGTTTCTGGGATTATTTTCTCAGCACACAGATTGACTCAACCACTCCCTGTTGCTAAATTGGTTCCAGCGCCATCAGATTTCTGAGGCTGTAATGCAACGGGGGGGGATTTTCCATCTTTCTCCCACAGAGCTGCTGGTGGATTGGAACAACTTGAGACGCACAGTGGGTTAGCAGCACAACCTGCTAGGGACTATGACATCAGAGCTCCCTAGAGATTGAGCAGATACAGTAAAAGGATACAGCTTCCCGGATTTTAAACCATGTTCAAATGACTGATTTCTTGGTCCGTGTACAAGTTCTCATTAGCACAATAAAGAAGTGTTCTGGAATTCCCATTCTTCTCAATATTACTTAAAATATATGATCCACAAAGTCTAATGCTTTTACATTAGTCAGTAGTCTTCAGTAGGATTTTATTTACATGTTTGCTAGTTTCCACATTCTGTGGGATTACCTTTTTTTTTTTTTTTAATTAAACAAATAAGGATCTCTTTTAGTTGTTTGTGCAGGTAGCTGCCTTTCAAATTTCATAGCATAACTGAGTGAGTGTACCCAGGACAGTATGTTGAAGCATTTCAGCTGGTCTTTCAGCAATTCCTGGTGCCTTTTTTTTTTTTTTTAATTTTACTGTTTTGCATACAATAATTTGTTTTCATTGTGTTTCATGACATACATTGTTGTTATGTGCCATCGAGTTGCTTGTGACTCACAGTGACCCTATGTACAAGAGCCCTAAACCCTGCTCTATCCTATGCCAACCTTATTGTCTCTGACACACCTACTCCCGTTACCCCAGTTACTGAATCAGTTTATCTCATTGAGAGTCTTCCTCTCATGCGCTGTCCCTCCACCCTCCCAAACATGACGTCCCTCTCCAAGGAACTGTCCCTCCTTATAACATGTCCAAAATATGTCAGACGAAGCTTCAGAATCCTTGCCTCCAAGGAGCAGCCCAGTTTCACCCTCTTCAGGACAAACCTGTTTGTTCTCCTAGCAGTCCATGGTATACCCAACACTCTTCTCCAGCACCACGGCTCAAAGGCATCAATTCTCTACCATCCCTAGTCACTGTCCAGCTCTCTGACACATAGTACGCAATTGCAAAGACTATGGCTTGGATCAGGCACACCTTAGTCTCCAGCCTGACATCATATCTCTTCAGTGCATACATAGTAGCGGTTTTTCCTTGTTTTTATTTTATACTAGTTCACTGACAAAGTTTGTCCGCATTGTTTTTCCCACCAGATCTTTCCCATTTCCTTTTTCACCCCATCCTCTCCTCATCGAATTGTGTGACCCTCTGATTAACACCATCACCACCTCCGTCCATCCTCACCTTTCTGTTCTCACCTTCCCACTCTTGGATCCTTATACACATTTTACATTTTAGTGGTCTTATACAGTCCAAATGGGAGCAAGTTAGTTTACTCACCATAATGCTTTCTAGTACCTCCCATGTTAAGTAGTGATTTACAAAAGCATTGCTCTTGCATGCTGCAAAGTATTCTGTTGAATGAATGTACCATAATTTCTCATCCATTCGATTATGCTTGGACATTTAGGCTGTTTCGTGTTCTTGCGACGGTGATTAATGCTGCTATGAACACTGATGTAAAAGTCTCCGTTTGTGCCTCAGTTCTTATTTTCTCGGGTATATTCTAAGCAGTGGAATAGCTGGGTCATACAGAATTTTTATGTTCAGCTTTTTGAGGAAATGCCAGACTGCTTTCCAGGGTGGTTGTACCATTTTACAATCCCACCAACAATGATGTATAAGAGTTCACATCTCACCACATCCTCTCCAACATTTATTACTTGCTGTCCTTTTAAACTTTGCCACTGCTACTGGAGTGAGATGATATTTCATTGTGGTTTTGATTTGTATCTCTCTTAATGCCAGTGATTTTGCGTATTTCTTCATGTATCTGTTGGCCACCTGAATATCATCCTCTGTGAAAAATCTTTCCATGTCTTTTGCCCATTTTGTAATTGTTATCAGTCTTTTTCTTATGGAGGCCTATAGGATTCTTTTGATATGAGACCTTTTTCTGAAATGGTATTGCCAAATGTTTTTTCCCAGTGAATAGGTTTTCTTTTCACTCTGCTGGGAAAAGTTTTTGATGCACATAGGGATTTAATCTTTAAAAGGTCCTATTCATCAATTTTATCCTCTCCAGAGTGAGCATTTCTGGCTGTATTTGGCAGTCTCTTTATACCATAGATTAGGCCGTCTAAGCTTGATGCCAGTTTGTCTCTGATACTTTATGGTTTTGAGCTTTACTCCCAGGTCTCTGAACCACCTAGAGTTGATTTTTGTGTGTAGTGTGAGATGTGGATCCTGTTTCAGGTTTTTGCAGGTAGCAGTCCAATTTTGCCAGGTGCCTTATTTTTTTGCCAATGTCTTCCATGCAGCCTGGATTTCTTCATTCGGTATCATTGTTTCTAGATCGTATGTCACCTCCTGAAATGACAGCGTTGACCAATTTTATTTGGTACAGTGACTGTATTCCTTTTACCTCCCTTTGACACTTTTTACATCACTCAATATTTTATCCAGAGTCCCGCAGTGTTGCAACTCGAGGTTTGCCTGTTTTCCTTCAGTTTTTCCCTTTGGTTTTCTAGCTTCAGATCTCCGCATGTTCACTGTAACACTCTAACACATATTCTGTTTTCTCGTGCTACTTTTTAAACATCATCTATTCAGACCTCTTACATCATTATTTCTTTATTTCATTTTAGCTTCTCTACATTCTAGAGTATGGAGATAGGACATGTCCCTGGTGTACACCCTTCCCAATTTTGAACCATACAGTGTTTCCTGGCTCTGTTCTGATGATTGCCTCTTTCAGGTATTAGCACGATCACGTGTTCTGGGATTCTCATTCTTCTCAGATTCAGCTACAGTTTGTTGTGATCCACACAGTCAAATGCCTTTGCATAGTCAATGAAACACAGATAGACATTCCTCTGCTTTCAGCCAAGGTCCATCTGACATTAACTATAAGATCCCTAGTACTATGGCCTCTTTTTTATTTATTTTTAAAATTTTAATTTAGTTTGTTTATTTTTCATTTCAATGAACATCTACAGAGATTTTGGAATTCTATTCATTCATTGT